GCGTTCGCGCAGGCGGCCGTCACTCCGCTCGCGCGCACGCAGCCGCACGGCAAGGGCGCTGCTACTGTCCTGCGCGTCTGCCTCCGACAGCGACGCGGACGAAAACGAGTCGTTTCGGGTCGCCGTGGTGTCTTCCTCCATGACCCGCGCATCCTCGAAGAGCATACCGGTGGTCTTCACGCCACGCATATGTGCGCTGGCGTGTGCGTACCTGTCGGTTTGTGTGTTTGCTTGTTTGGTTGGTTGCGTGCGTGCTCTCTACTTTGCCTTGGCCCGACGCAATGCCGTGATGACTGGGAGGGAAGGGGAAAAACAAAAACACGGATGAATGATGGCGGTAACCACAGCGACAACAACGTCAGCAGCCACAGTAGCCGGGGGCACACAGACACTCCTCAGTCCGACAAACGAAAAGCACTCCTACTCGCCCTGAGAACACCGATCCTCTACGACACACACACACACACACACACACGGCTGTGGAGCCTCACGGCTGTGTGTCGAGGTCCTCTGCGACTTCCACCAACGCGTCCACCTCGACAGCGGAGCCCAACGGCAGCTGTGCAACACCCACCGCGCACCGCGCGTGCCGCCCCACCTCCTCCCCAAAGATCTCGACCATCACGTCGGAGGCGCCATTCGCGACGAAAGGGGCCTCCGTGAAGGACGGCGCGGAGTTGACGAACACGTTGAGCTTCACGAGCTTCCGCACGCGGTCAAGGTCACCCACCGCGGCCTGCATATGGCTGACCAGCTGCAGTGCACAGAGCCGCGCCGCCGCCTGCCCCTCCGCCACCGTCAGCGGCGCGCCCAACTGCCCGGTGACGAGCTTCCCGTCGCCGTCCTTCGCCAGCTGCCCCGAGATGTGCAGCTGCGAGCCGACGCGCACGTACGGCAGGTAATTCGCGACGGGTGCGGCGACGGCCGGGAGGACGATGCTGTGCCGCCGGAGATTCGCCGCCACACGCCCTGACACTGCAGCACTCATTTATTTTTCCTTTGGGTTTCCTTTTTTTTTCCGGATGCTTTTAGTTCTTCTGTATGAGTCGAGAAAACGAGCCGCGCAGCACACACGCGGACTGCCGTGCCCGCAAGAGAACAAAGGCGGAGAGATTGCTAGATGCGCTTGGGGCAGAGGAGCCGCGCTGGGCATCTCCGCACAAGAGGAGTGGCGGAAGCAGCATCACGAATGAAATACGAAGGCTGACAAGGCACACAAGCATCGATTATTATACCATGGCTGCTTCTACGCCTTTTTGCCGTCCTCCCTCTCGTCTTTCTCCTCCTCCTCCCCCACCTCATCCTCATCGGCGTCCTCGTCCTCGTCGCCACTCTCTGCCTGGTCGTCGACGTAGCGCGAGGCCCGCAACGCTCCCTGCTCGCTGCGGCGCCGCTTCAACTCGCGCTCCTTCTCGTACGTGCCGTCGAGTTTCTTCACCAGTTTTGTGTAGCGCCGCAGCAGTTGCTCAGCCGTCGCGACTGCGGCATCGTCGTCGGCGGCGTCCAGCAGGCAGCGGCGGACTTTGCCGCGCAGCCGCTCGCTTGCCTCCGCGTCACCGAGTGAGCGAAGCGTCAATATCGTCTTGATGATGTGAAGCTCCTGCTCCGGCGTGACGCTGCAGACCATATTCGCCCCGTCACTTCTATTCTTTCTGCTGCCCCTTTCTTCGCCTTTTCGACAGCTGGCATTGATGATGTCAAGTGGCGGGAAAGCAAGAAAGAACCGAGAGAGATGCATCAAAACACCAAACACACACATCGCAATATTTGTGCCTGCAGGTGTATGCCTTCCTTGAAACATACAATGCATATATATATATATATATATATATTGCATCTGTATACAAGCCCATCGCGGCTCAAACCACTCCTGCAAACGACAGAATGTTGTTATTACTGGTTGTTATTCACTCTCTGGGGACGGGCCTCAGCAACAGCAGATCAAGTGATACACAGGCATACAGAAACACACACAAGTGTACTACCCACGCGCTAGGCGATGGCAAAGATCTCCGTCCAAAAGTCGGCGATGTGGGCGCCAGTGTTGCAGTTCACCACCGTAGGATTGCTTTGCGCGTGCTGCAGCGCCGCGAGGCAGCGCCGCTCCTGCACCTCGTCGCCCAGCGCCCGCGCCTCGCGCTGCTGCTGCTGGAATATATCAACCGCCCGCTGCACATTGCCGCACCAGAGCTGCGCCCAGCCGACGAAGACGCGGCACTTCCGCTCCGTTTCGGTGTCGCAGATACTCGCCGCCGTCGCGTACAACATGAGTGCGCACTGCAGCGCCTTGTCGGCCCGCCGCAGCGACGCCCAGCCGCCGCCCACCGTCTGCAGCATTGCCATCCGGCA